TTAAGACATTATTATTAAATTACAATAGAAATAAATGGCAAAATTTTGGGAAAGTTGCATGGGACGTGCTTTTTTGATCAGGCCTAGCTGTGTCTGCAAAACAAAATTAAGGCCAATGCCTAGCCCATATTTAAAATTCAAAATTTTGAAGAATCTCTATTTTTAATTTTACACAATATGATTACAATTACAAATTTAAATTTTGATATTTCTAATACCCTTGATGCTCACGAATTACATTGCAACAATTTTACCTCTTTTTCTCCTAAATTTTAATATAAAGCATATTTAGTACCATATACCTCCCTGTCATTCTTGACGGGTTATTAGCTAGTAATAATATAAATAAAAAATATTAAATCATATATTTATTTGTGATAATAAAAAAAATATTAATATTAAATATATATAAAATAATTTTTTTTACTAAAATAAATAAATAATTAAGGCTAGGCATATCTTACGGAACGCTGACGGACGATATGCCGATGTTTGACTAACTTAGATTTAGCCGATTTTTAGGCTAAGCCTATTTAGGCGTAGTTTTTAGCCGATTACGCAACACTAATCGCAATATTAAAAAGCATAGCACACCCGTCAAATTTTTAAGCAATGCATCACTGTTAGCGCACCATTTAACCAAACCCTAATTTCGTCCAAGAAACTGGTTTTAATAATAAATCAAATAGAATGCTTTATAAATAGAATACTTTTGCAATATAACATTTGAACAAAAATAAAAAATCAAGCCCGGGTCAAAATTTTTACTGGGTTTGAAAATGAAAAAAATATTAAATTCAGGTTGGGGTTAAAAATTTATCTCTCCCTGTCTCTGAATTATTTTATTAGCTCTGGGTATTATAAATATTTTTATCATGTTATATAAATAATTTCAATATTGATTGATCAGTTAAATTCTAATATCATTAACGTTAATATTCAGTAGCTCAACTATTAACATCTTCCCTATGATTTTATTTTGGATATTCAAAATTCTTTATATGTAAATCAAATATAACTTGATTTATATTAAAAGTAAAATAATAAATATGTATATGAATTTTGATTGTTTTATAAGAAATTATAACTATAAGACTCAAAAATAATAATTTAATACAAGTTTAGTGAACAAGTATGTTAAAATATATAAACCCTTAGTGTGTCGGCTCTTTATAAAAGCATAAGAGAATAAATCTCAAATTAAAAATATTTATTATGAATTTTAAGACTATGTATTAAATTTAAATATTTGCAATAACTTTGGTAATTTAATGTGTTTAATCTATTTTTATTCGATTTATTACAATATGATAAGAAAATGGAACATTTCCCATTTGAATTTATTTATTTAAAATCGTTTTATAACTGTGATATTCAATCAGGCAAAAAGGAAGATTAAGAAAGAAAAATAACCAGATGCACCGATATCAGACTGTTCAATTTTAACCGCTACCAATTGTGAGTAGTGAAATACATTAAAAAGCTTAACCCATGTATTTTAAGAATTTTGAAATGTAGCTATGAGCTATTGATAAGAAATAGATTTTTTGAATATTTTCTAATTTAAATTTGCATAATTTTAAATAAATTATTAATCAAAGAAATTAGTATCATTTGTTTCAACGGCCTCATGCAATCAACTATATTTTATAAATGATACCATATGAATATTATGGACCTCATTCCACAACATATTTTAGAACAAATTAGCTATAAAAATGGATTTTATAATAATTTTTAACAGGCGCGTAGCCAGCGGATGAGGGGAGGGGGTAGAAAATATTTTTAAAAAAATATAAAGTTTTTTAGGAATTGTGCAAAGTATTTTATTACAAATTTTAGCAAAAGTTAAAATTAATTTCAATATTTCTTTCCTGTTTATTAATATTTTATCTCAAAATTTAAAAATTTTTTTTCTTCACTTTTTTGAACCTTAAACATTGATGGATACAAGATAATTTTATCAACCAAAATATTTCTATATAATTTATATTATTAATAACTTTGATTAGGCAAACATTTCTAGAGCGTATGAAATGTTGATCTAAAGGGACAGAATTTGCTGTATAGAAAGAAGCTTTATAAGATGGATTCTTCGACATCAAGCTGTTACAGTATTTTCGAAACTAGAATAACATTTCAAGAGATTTATGTGATTGTTGAAGCGAAATTATTAAGATTCGCAAGCCTTGACTTGTACTTAGAACTTCTATATTAACGTGGACATAATTGAGGATTACTATATAATAACCGTCGTTAACTTTTGCATACATTTTTGGCTCAAATTAATGAACGATTTGTGATTCATCAAATAGCTCTATCCAATTTACAAATACTATTACCGATAATCCTTCTGAGGATATATTATATCTTAAATATTTATCTAAATTTTATTCAGAGGATACAAATATATCAAGGTGAAGGCCTATTAATTTTAGAATTTAAATCTTAGTATGAAAGAATAATTCTAATAGAGAAACGAAATGAAAGTATTGCATATTTTAAAATATTTCCAAACAACAATACCAATTAGATAAAGTACAAATGAGGATCTTTTCTTGCTCTTAAATATTTTGTATTTTCAATATTTTTTTAAAATATGATTGGTAGAAATACTTTTTTGTTTTTGTATTAATTTGAATAATTTTAAGAGGAATATTAAATATTTGAATATTAAATATTAAAAAGTAGGGCTGTGCCGATATTAAATATCGAATCGGATCAGTACCGATATTTATGGTTTTTCAAAAATATCGGATAGGACAGATACCTGTAAAAACATCCGATCCGATTCTTTTACTAAAAATGCAATTCTTAAAACTTTTGGTGAAACTTTGAATTATTATTACATCGTATTTATTATATTTTTAATAAAAAAATTTTTTTAAAAATGTTTAAAAAAAAAAAAATTTACATTAATAATATTTTCTAAATAATTTTTTTTTAAACAATGCAAATGTTATTTATTTTTTTAAATAGATTAAGTTTTTTTATAAAAATAAAAAGGAACAACACCCAAAGTTTTATTTATTTTTTTAAATAGATTAAGTTTTTTTATAAAAATAAAAAGGAACAACACCCAAAGTTTTATTTTTTTTTAATTTTTTTAAAAAATAACACCAATTTTATTATTTATACTTTAAATAGAATTATTTTAAATATGGTTTCTGAATTATGGAAATATTCCGTAAAGATAAAGAGAATTTTGCAAAATGCGTTATCCGCAGAATTCTAATTTCAAGGGGAGGAAAAATGAAAAATTCATTTAATAGAACAAATATACGGAAACATTTAAAGCGATTCCATCAAACGGAATTCGAAGAGCTAATACAAAAAGAACGAGAAATATTAGAAAAAACAAATCAATTTTTTTAAAAAAAGAGCCCTGAAAGTCATCCAACAATATCAGCCATTCTTAATAAAACTAATATTTGGAAATATTCCGATCCTTTGCCTGAAAATCTAGAGGCTCTTATATTTATTTTTAAAAATCTAATATATTATAATTTATATGTTAAATATTACAATTTTATAAACCAATATAAAATGGATATATTATATTTATTTTATCTATTATAATTAATTTTTTTTAAATTATAATTGAAATTAAATTAAAATTCTTTTGCATAAAAAATATGATTTCTTAATTTCATTTGGTTCAAAGAGGGGTGTGGTAAAAAATCAATATAAATATCGGATCGGTTTTGAACCAATATCGGATCGGTGAAAAATATGTGGATCGGCACATGAAAAAGTATTTTGAATTTATTAGGATTTCAAATAAATAATACTCTTAGTATTTTTTAAAATATAATAATGTAATATATTTTATATACATATACATTAAAAAAGGACAAGAATTCACCAATATTAGCATTTTTTTTATTTATAATTTATAATAAATTTATGAAATTCAAAAAAAAATAATTATAAGAAAAATTTTAATTTTTTTATCATTTAAAATTTTAAACGATCTATATTCAAATACTTATTTTCAAGCGTATAATACATCTTTTTTAAGGTGCAAGTTATATTTATAACATTTTTGCAATTATTAAGATAATGAAGCCATGGCCAGGATACTAACAAAAAACTAAATTTCCTATGGTTTTTTAAAATTTATTACAGGTTTAAAACTAAAGTGAATGTGATTTTATAAAAGAATGTGTTCAAATGTAATCTCTATCCATCGCTCTAGATAGATTACGAAAGAAGAAGGAATAATATTATGGTAAACTACTTCCAATAATATTTAATGTTCGGTAGAAACTTACTTATTTTACTTAGAAATGATTCAACTAAATAAATTATCCCAAAATGTATTATTAAGTACTAGCTTAACGTATTGCATTTTGCGAACGATCTTAAAATTTAACGGAATATATTTTTAGAGTATTTTTCTTAACCCCGCAAGTGGCCAATACCCAAAAATGATAATTAACGTTAATAAATTTTAAAAAAATTATAAGCTATGAATATATAAGAAAGGAAGGTATTATTAACTTTTTCCCCTATTTCTTTTAATTCAATTTACTTATATATAAATTTCATAAATTAATTATAGTTATGTATGATAAATAAAAATTAGATAATATTGATGAATATTTAAAAATAAATATTATATTTTTTATTTTGATATGAGTGATATTGGTATAGTGCTAGAATCGGTGATATGGGTATCGGCCAAAAAAGCGGTATCGGTGCATCTAAGAATATAATATTAATATTTTTCGGGCCATGAGCAGATGTCGGACTGGCCAGACAAGATTCTAATTAACGATCATTTTAAATCTATAAGTTAAGAAATGTAATATTTTTAATTTTCTGAAAAAAATTTTTCGGGATTGACATTTTAATGAATAACAAAAGATTTAGTACATTTCAAAACACTATAATTAAACTTGGCTAATAATTTTTGAATTATCATCTTTAAGTAAATTTATGATTTAAATATATAAAAATTTTAGTTCACAAATTATTTTTAAAAATGAATAGAAAACCTTAATGCAAGATGTAAAAACATATCCATCGGAAAGAGGCAGATGTAGACGTAATAGGCAAATAGCTTCATGGGAGGAAGTTTAAGTATAAAATTAAGCAAACCATTGTCCATTTTTTTGCAGGCGGCTTTAAAAGCTGTGAATACATATATAAATTAAATATTCTATTGGTTAAAATGTACCTTCCGAAATGGCGGGAGGCAATTTTTTGATTCTCTCAAAATCTTCTTGATTAAAACTTTCGTTAATCAATAAATTAGATATATCATTAGTAAACGTTTCTTCAATCTTGTAATTTTGGTGGTCACAGTATCCATTGTTTTTCATCTCATTAGTACACAGTGGAATTTTGCATTCAACACATTTTCCGTTAGAATGTTTGATTTTTCCAGTATTTTTGTCTTTTTTTGTGGGGAGCAATGATTTTTCGTTTTTGGCCATATATGCAAAGTATCTTTCCGCTTGATTTTTTAAGAGTTTTTGATCCCTGTCGGCTAATTTTACATTGGTTTTAAAGCTTAGACATCTGATACAAGATATTAAACCTGTTAAATATTAACATTGAAAAAAAATACATAGTTATCGGATTATTCATTAAGGCGGGTCACCATCTCGATAAAGTGAGAAGCTCAAGAGAGGTAAATTAGATGAAGATAATTTTTCATTTGAGTTCTCATTTTATGGAAATTGCTTTTTGAAATTAATATACTTTTTCTTTGTAAAAATCTTAGAGTATCTTCAAACCCTTGCTTGCACATATCGCTCAAAATTTCGGCAGATGGAGGAAACAACGCATAAAAAAGTCTGTGAATGTTACTAGAAAAAAATCATAAATATGAATGCTTTTGAAGCAATTACTTGGCATTTAATTGTATATTACTGTTTGTAATACTAAAGCTGATAAAACTATGAGAATTATCTAGGGGGCATATGTCAGTCTCGCCCGCGAAAGGTGAAATTGTTATTGTATTATCATCAAAAATTGGTTGATTATCTGTTATTCCTCCATCTAAATATCGCTAAAAATAATTTCAATAATTATATCAAATTAGTTGTTTCTAAAATAACAGAAATATAATAAACTTTTGGCATTAAATGCCAGAAATGCATTGAAATCGAGTTTAAAATTGGCTTATTAATAAAATTGATTAAAATGAATAATATTTTTGAATAAAATTAAGATTTGAATCAATTATAGCTTCTTTCCTTGTAATTTATTTAAATAATAATTAGTTTTATTTTCAAATTAAAGAATTATGTATAACATATTTTACTATATTTTGCATATAGGTTCAATTATTTGATATAATAAATTATTTAAAATGATTTTATATACTAAGTAAATCCTGAAATTAATTTTTAATATATAAAACTATTTTAATTAAATATTGTTTAAATAAAGGAAAAATCTTCCTAAATATTTCAATATGCCCTTATTTAAATAAATATTGATATTCAATATTTTAATACCAAGAAAATTAATTCATATATCATAAAACTAGATTTATAAAAAACTTATAATTTAATTTAAAAATTAATTTTTTTATTTTAAAAAATTCCAACCCCATTTAATATCGTCTAAAATTCAGCGCGGACTAGCCTGAATCGGCACGTAAAATATTGTGATCAATTTACCATCTCATAAAATAATTTTGTACAAGAAAACTTTACCATAATTTTATATTTTTCGATTGGCCAGTGGAGCTTTTCTAAAAAATATAACCATAATCCGAAAAAAAATTATCAAATTAGGCTAAATAATAAAAAACAAACATCTAAGCCTAGGAATAGATTTTTATGCAAAACCCAGGCCAATTATTTAGAAATTAATTTAAATAATATTAAAATATAGTTGTAAAATAATAGAAAGAATCTCATAGAGCCCTGCGTCGGTTCTATTGTTAGAGGCAATCCGAATTTTTATCGGACTGCTAGAAAATATGCTATTTTAATAAAAGCGGAAAAATTGTTATTGCTGAAAGAAAATAAAAAATGGTGATATTTCGTAAGAATTTTTTTATAATAAACATTAGTAAAAGAATTTTTTAGCATTTCATCTAGTCGAGGTCTGAGCCTGGCCCCAATTAAAATGTTAAAATCATGGGCCAATCTGATCGAGAAGAAAGTTTGTCCAAGTATTCTACGTAGATATAATTATATTTCTTATTCTAATATTAAAATAATTATATTGACATATTTAAACCATTTATTATTAGATTAAATTAGGGGTGTACCGATACCACTTTTTGGAAGCCGATCCAATCCGATATTCCCGATATTAAATTGATATCGGCCGATTACCGGATATCATATCTAATTTTGTATTCTGTAAAGATACCAATGGTTTTAATTTGTAATATACTTTTTATTAGTATTACACTATAATTTAATTATACCATAACTTATGTCTATTATATAGTTTATATTCATTTCTATTGCAATTCTAAAAGTATATAAAATATTTTTATTGTTAAATCATTTTAACATAATAAGTAATAACATTAATCTATAAACAAATATATTATGAAATTTGAAATAAATATTTAAAATAATATTTATCATTAATATATCGAAGATTTCTTTTTAGAAATGCCAAAATTTCCAATTTATCAGAGGTCAACCTTGGCCGATGATAACTGTCAATAAAAACAGATTATGAAGAGATTATCGCACACTTTTAAAATAGAATGTGCAAAAAAAATAATAATATGGCAGAATGTTTATTAATTAATTATTAAAAAAAATATACATGAATATGGATTTCGATTTTATTTATAAAAATAAATGATTTTAGATATAGCTTTTTTTAAAAATTTTATTTTTGTTAAAGACGCCATTTTATATCGGATCAGATCGGCAAATTTTATAATATTGGCCGATAGCCGATATTTTAAAATGAGTGAAATATCGACCCGATCCGATAAAAAAATATCGGTACATCCCTAGATTAAATGAATTTTAATTAACCTATATTAACGTCATTATTTAATATATATTATATAACCAGTAAATAAATTTTAACGACTTGATTATATTATAAGAAAAGAAATCATAATTTAATTCAGAGTATATAAATAATGATTAGTCCAGCTCAAACTAGACAGCAAAAATTTTATATGGGGTTTCTTGGCCTGGACCTCTAACCCGAAATAATTCTTTATGAAGGAAACCGGCACATGCCTAATTATCAACTTCCTACAAGTCTGTAAAAATTTCTTAAACAATTTTTCTAACCTGGCCCGACAATTTTCCAGATATCATGTTAGTACTGGTTATGTATGAGTTAAAATGGGGGTATCAGTACAATCCTGATTTAGATCTATTCATGGGTTCAATTATATTCTAAATAGAGAATTGAATCTAATTTTGTTAAGGCTAATTCCAACAATTTTTTTGTCTGAGAAGACAATATAAAATTGTATTTTATTTTTATGGTGCTTTCGTGTTTTAATATTATGATAGAAATTTTTAATAAAATAAATTGTCAAAAAAAAAATACTTATTAGAGATCTAAAAAGCCCATAAGCAGGACTGGTCAAATTTATAAAAAAATTATACCAGGGGCCTGACAAAATATGTAACGGCGAAAAAAATAGTGATGTAAAGGAACGCCTTCACCAATATCGTTTTAAAAAAAACATGGTGAACGGTGTTCCTTTTATTTTAAGCGTAAACATATTTTATTTTTTTTCTGCCAAACGCGCTTGTTTTTTACGTTCGTTCACTCAAAAAAATTATGTTTTTATTTTAAAAAGATTTATATTGAGGCCGGGCTGGGCCTAAAATATTTTTTAAAATACCTGGACCGGGCGAAATATTTTAAATTGCCATTATTATCTATAAAAATCAATATTATATTTAAAAATCTTTTTAAAATATCCGAGCCAGGCAGAAAAATATTTAAAAAATGAAATTTGGGCAGATTTTTGAAAAAAAATTCAGGCTGGGTCATGCAAATGGTACATCGTCTCTAAATTTTATATTAAATATATTTTTTTTAGTAAGGTATTCATATATTAACATTTTCATTATTAAGAATTTTTAAGAGGTTTATTTTCTTACTCAGCTATTTCCTTCAAATATCAGCAGGCTCTCTCTTTTCTGTTTAGTGTTTATTTTACTTTGTTTTATAGTATTATATATATATATCTCTAATGATTCGAACTCAGGTGTTATACATTTGCCATGGATGAATTACAATAAATATTTCAATTTTAATTCTTAAAGAAATTATTAAAATAAATTATATAAAACATGGAGCCAATAGTTACTATAAAAATAACATGCATTTGAGCTAATTGACACTTACAATAACGAAAATATTAATCAAATTTTAAAAAATTACATGTTAGTCTGTCCCAGTAGTCAATGCGTTAATATATAGTTTTGATAAAATATCAAATCTATTAAAATTATAATTTTTTTTAGCTATAAGCATGTAAATATCAATTATTTTCTTCATAATACATCTGGTATTTATACTCAAATGACATTGGATAAGGAATAAAAATTAATTAGTTTTAGAAAATAGGAGAAAAAAGAAATGTAGAAGCTTCAGACCAGAAAGTCTTCTGAAATCTCTTTTTTTTGACAAAGAATTAGTGAAAAATTTAGACAATGATTGCCACTAAAATTTTTTAAAACAAAACATAAACATTAAATATTTTTAGGGCTTGCCAATCCACAAAATTACCAGTAGCAAATTTATTTTTAATTATTAATATAGGTATTTTTTAACAAATTATTTTTTTTACTAATCAAATAATATTTTTATTAAACAAATTTTTTTTTATTGATCAAACCATTGTATTTAATACTTATATTCTTAATTAAATTGACTAATTATTAGTTTTATAATTGCAAAAAAAATTATCAAAAAATGGTCAATATTTTATAAAATATTGGAGGCTTTTTAATTTTTCATTAAAAATATGGGACAGTGTAGGCTAAAGAAATAATTAAAATTTGGGTCTACTTAGGCTTGAGTGGATTTTTTTTTAAATGCTGGGTTTAAAATTTCTACCTATGCAGCTTTAATACAAAGTATTATAAAAAATCAAATAACCAAAATATAATATAATTTCATTAATTATGAATTAAATACTATGTTTATAACATAAATAAATATGCAATTTTGGGGGTGTGTCATTATTATTTAGAAATAAATTTTAAAAGAATTCACAATAAAATAGCACATTAATTTTTTTCCCTGATTTTCTTGAATAACAATAAAAATAATTATATACAATGGAAAAAAAATAAATAGGAGTAAACACAACATAATCATAAGATAGAATTTTTTAACTTACAACTCCTTGGAAGGATGGAGGAATGATACCACAATATATTGGTATAAATGAACTACAGATCAGTAACTATATTGGAAATGCATATATATAATATAAAATCATGATTACTTGCATCAAATCTTCTTTGGATGCAAATTCTGAAATAACAACATTTTTTGAGTCAGACACTCTAGTTAAGGATATAAATAGACGACCTGATGCTATTTCATGAGCATTTGGAGGTAAAACTTTATTTAAACCATTTCGTATAACTTTAGTTATATTAAAACTTGGATGAAGTGGGCCTAAGCTTCTAGAACGAGCTTTGGCTGCAATTGATAATAAACTGCCTATGGCTTGCCCTAAAAAATATTTTCAAGAAATGCAAAACTGATATAAAGAGAATTAAATAAGATATCAAGTTTGGAATTATGTAACAATGGCTATAAATCTTAAACATTATAAAAATTTATAAATGAGAATTCAAATAAATATATAATTAGATATTATTTAAATGCCTATAAAACCTAAACAACAATTGCATATAAGACAACATCCAGCCAAGGCACCTCCTGATGCTCCATATATTTTACCAACTAAATGAGGGGCATATTCTTTAAGGCAGCTGGCAACTCCTACATGATAAACTCCAAGAAATCCACATCCAGAAAAAGACCAATCCATATTTTATATTTTAAAAGAATATTAATTATTATTCGATTGTAATTAAAAAATAATAAAAATAAAATTTAAAAAAATATAACGATATTATAATATGTTGTCAGGTGATAGTTAGAGTAGTTTAAGGGTGAGTCTAAAACATGATTCATTGAATCCATGGTAATTACTAAACAACGACTAGGTTTAAATACTAACTGGAAGTTAAATAATATATAATTATTGTAGAATAGATTTACAATTATCCAAATAATGTCATTGAATTTGTCCTTTCGAAATTTAAATTTCACTATACATAAGCAGGGTTGTCAGGTCAAAATTTACAAATTGCGGGAATTTGGTATTATGCAGGAGAAATATGAAAATTGCTAAAAAAAAAGGGATTTTGAATTGAATTAATTATCCGCATATTATTTTTTATAATTAGTTTATATACAAAGTTGGTAACTATTTTTCAAAATAAAATAACATTTTGATTTATTAAAATTTATTAATTTATAAAAAAACCAACGATCTTTTTTATATATAAAAGAATGTAAACAAGATAAAATTTTATAAAAAAAACGATTTTAATTTTACAATTAAAAATATATTTTATGCGAATGTCCCGCAAAACGACCGCAATTGGAAATCTACCGTGTGTGTGTATAACATTATAGGGATAGGCGCTTAATTATCACGTATCACGTTTAAATACATAATAAGGTACTCCAAAAATAAGAAATAATACAGATGCAACTACAGTTGCGGCAATTGTAGTCACTTATCTTGTAGTACAACATTCACAGTGATACTTATATCACAATGTTGGTAGAATCTTTTTCCCATAATATTTAACGACTCTAATATAAATGAAAACTATACTTGTAGAACAAAAATAAGCAAGGCTATCATCAATGTTTTAGGACCTTAATCCAGGAGGTCAATTTTTGACGATATGAAGATGGACATACATATGCAATTCTAACAGATGCATCTTATAAGATCCTCAGCTATTTCAACAAAATTAAGGTCGTTTCAAAAAAACTATTAAATTTTTTCCCCTTAAATAGTGAAAAATCCAAATACATAGCTAACCATAAAATGGTAAATATAACAGATTCAAGATTATCAATGTCAGCTTTCTGATCTGATAATGCCTTTGTGAATTTGGTAAAAACAGAGGAGTGTATTTACAGAATTGAGTCAGCAAAATGTTTTGCGATATGTTCCTAATACCCGCCATCGATAGAATTTTAAAATTTTATAAATCTTTAAAAAAATATTTCTTAGATAAAGAATATAAAAGCTGTCCTAACATTTTGAAAATTTTTTTCAATAATGAATGGCAGAGGTATATTTAGGAATGATTTCACATGTAGGAAATACTACATGTTGTTAATATGTAGTTGCAATCAGAAGAATCAAATACTACATGTTGTTAATATGTAGTTGCAATCAGAAGAATCTTAACAGATTCACTAAATTATGCTGCAGATGTGTTCGTCTTTACAGTTAAAAATTGACAATAAATTTTTATGCCATTGCTAAACTTAATTATATTTTATTTGAGATTTAAATAATAGAACTAAATGTTTACCGTCGTTATTGAGAAATTTATAAAATTCCTGGCATGATATATTATATATTTGTTTAACTATTAGCTCGGCCTTTAATGTTGTTAAAGCAATCCGATTTCTCTCTTTTTTCCAGGCAGTCCTCATCAGGCTAAAAATGCGCTCGGATGAGGCATTAGAATGAGGTAAGGAGATGACATACTAGCATATTTTTTCCAAGCATGGGGATTTATCGTTATTACGAAAAAAATCTACCCATTTCTCCTCAGCTTTTAGACCATCTAACTTTAAGTATATTGGCGAATCATAAAAAATAGAGAGAATTACAATCTCCTAAAATAAGGCATCAATATCTTTCGGTATTTTTAATATATTTATTAAATATAAAAACCATCAATTGATGGTTTCTGTTCCAAGGTCATAATATTTATACATTTGTAAATAGAGTTATTAAAATCAAATTTTGATTGTAAATACTAAAATTGTAAATATAAATATCTGTTTCATTTAAAAATATATTAATTAGAGTATTATTTGAACATTTTAATATAATATTTTTAGCAATAGCACCATAAAATTTATTATCAATTTTTAAATGTAGAAGAGATGAAAGCTGTAGCATGATTTTGTGTATCTTTTTTAATAAAGAATATTCTGATTGCAACTGAATATTAACTGCATGAAGTAAATTTCCTACATGTGAAACGAATCCCAAATATGCTTCTGCCATTTCATACTCGAAAAAATTTTTCAAAATTTTAGGACAGCCTTTAAAATCTTTATTTAAAAAATATTTTTTTAAGGGTTTGTAAAATTTTAAAATTCTATCGATGGCAGGTATTAATGACAACCACCTGATAGGTATATATCGTAAAAACTCACACCATTCCAAGTCAGACCATTTCATCACTCTTTTAATTCCTTAACATTTTTAGTTGATGAATTAAATTCGTTAAAACATTTCATCACAATTATTTCGACATCCACAGATAGTACATTCATTGGCTTCTTGCAAGAATTATGTATTATATGGCATATACAGCCAATCGGTATTAATTCATTATTGTGCTGCCTCAATTCGGTAACTTTAGTTTTTGCCAAAGTTTACAGAGGCATTATCAGCGCAGAAAGCTGACATGCAAATCATTGATAAGCCTGAATCAGCTATATTTACCATTATGTGGCTAGCTACATCGTTGGAATTTTCACTTACCGAGGAAAAAATAAATTTTAACAGTTTTATTGAAATGTTCTTATTCTTGTTGAAATAGCGAAGGATCGAGGGAAATGTTTTAATATTTCCCTTATTAGATGCATCTGTTAGAATTGCATATGGATACCCATCTTTCAAATCGTCTAGAATTGACTAGGATTCAGGTACTAAAACTGTGATAGCCTTGCTCATTTTTGTTCTGCGACAAGTAAGGTTTCCACTTATATTGGAGTCGTTAAATATCATGAGAAAAAGATTTGAACCACATTGTGATGATATAGCTCTGTGAATGTTAAATTACATGTTAGATGTATACGATTTCCGCGAATGTAGTTGCATCTGTATTATTTATTATTTTTGAGAATATTTTTGTATTGCAATCGATGTTGATATACTCCCCTGTACTGACTTATATGAATGAAATGATGTTGATTTATTATTGGATAAAAATAAAACAGGATAGAAAGAAATTTACAAACTAGACATGTTTTTCGAATAAATTTTTAAAATTTATTTTAAATATATAAAAATAATCAATTAATGTCTCTCAAAATTATTAATTATATATTAAAAACGTTAAAATACTTTTAAAAAAAATTGCGGGAGAAATTAAAAAATTGCGGTAGATTTTTGCGAGAGATTTTCAATTGCGGTAGTTTTGCGGGAGAGAGATGTCTGCGTGTAAACTAAAAAATTGCGGGAGTCTCCCGCTGATGGGGGGAGACATAGCAACCCTGTACATAAGCATAGCAAAAAGGAGGGGAGGGCGGGGCACTATTAGGTAGAGTTGGCCAGTACCACGAATACTTGAATCTTATATACAAGATACAAGATCCTTTTATATCTTATACTCAGCATCTTTTAGAAATTTTATAAGATACTACTACCTCTATCTAAGATCCTTTATTCTGAAAAAAATCTTGTATCTTTTGCATTTTCTTGTCACCACCTTCTTCACTACTATGAGTGTTAATAATCCTACAAATTAAAAAAAATAAAATTGGTAATAATATTTTTTCGAGTTACATTTAATTTATATATAAAATATATTCTTTATTTATTTCGTTTTTGTTGTAACTGTTGAAAAAAAGAAGAAATAAATTTAATATAATACATCAAATGTCAGTTATTTTCTGACAGGGGAATTAAGTTTTCCTTGGGGGAAGAAGAGGAGATGGGGATCACGGGGTGTGTTTCATTGTTCGGAAAAACCCATAGTTGGAGATTGGGAGATATTGGATTAGATGTCAGCTGTGGACCTTTGGATGTCAGCTGTGGACCTTTGAGAAATGAAGAATTGGATAATTATATTATGTTATATTTTTCTACATATTTTATGTTAGATTGTTGTGGTTTTATTGGAAATAAAGATAATTATGTTAAATATGGATCGTCGTTAATGGTCAATGGTATTTATTTAATATTATTAGAAAGAATTATTTTGGGTTGTTAAGTTATATAATTGAGAGTAAAGGGCATTTTTATTATATTTAAGGTAACTTGTAATAGTTTTGATGTTATTAATTTCTATCTATCATCTTACTGAGAGTTGCAAATTTTTCAGATAATTCTGGGTTATAATCTGTGTTGTGTAATATAATAATTTTGGGGAATTATATGTAGATTCGTAAATACTCCATATAGTAAATTGATCATCGTATTTGATGGTAAAATTTGAAACATCGCTTTATTTGACACTATATTATACATTTTCGTCATAATAACAATTTAAAATGTTTTATAAATTATAAATCAGAAAGTCATATTAAGTTACGCAAAACGAATTTATTTTAAATTAAGTGATACAATAATAAAAAATGTTAATTGTAACGCAATAAAATATAAACAAAACTAAAATAATCTAAATCACACCGTAAGGCATAAAACTGAAATACATTTATATATAATATGTAAATTTTTTAAATATGAGTTTTAAAAAGGGAAATAAGTTCCCCTGAATCAAAATCATTTTAGATGTAAATTTTTTAAAATAATTAAGTAAAAATCCCAAATTTTAGATGTAAATTTTTTAAAATAATTAAGTTAAAAAAAATGCACATGCTGAATTTTAAACCTGTATACACAAAAAATGATTTCTCTACAAATTTTGCTATACATATTAATGTATATTATTTTTATGATAATTTTGAATTATTATTATATTTTTATAAAAAATTTGAAACATAATTAGGAATTTATACCCAATATGAAGCAAACTACCACAATATAAAAAAAATTCAACCCAGTATATCAGCTTCATTTAATGTCATTAATAAAATAAAATCAATAATTACACAAAATAAAATTGGAATATATGGAATGCAAGCCAAATC